CGGATCGCAATATGAAAAGTGCTCTCCGGGCATACAACCAAGCTCGATGGGCTCTTAATCAGCTCAATGCTCCTCAGGGCACTCGTGACCGATACAAGCCGATAGGGAAAAAAGATACAAGGGCACTAACTACGGTATACAATGGCAACACCCGGGGTCAAAGAAATATTGCTCTGCCATGGTTCTGGAATATGGCTGTGGCTGATGATTCGTCGGGTTCAACATACATGGAACAAGGTCAGATCCAGTCACTTTTATTACTCTACATGAATTGAAACCAGACAAATCAAAGTATATCGGGTGAATTGGCTCAGAGCAAAAGCTCGATATGACCGGTGGTCAGAAGAGCATACCTTGATCCCAAACGAAATGAACTGGACCCGCCTCTATTTCATCAACAAAGCAAGGGAGTGGGCTGGGCTGAGGGACTTGGTGCCAGACAAGCCGGGACATGTATGCTTTGCCGAGGGGCAAATCAGTATGTGGAAAGAACTGGCCTTCCAGGCCACCAAAGAATTTATAAATGCCGGGGTCATGTGCGAGGCCATTGCATTACCTAATCCTAGTTGAATCAAACTATTCTTTCTCATTGTCCACCATGTATGCAAAAGAACACCTGTCATTTGACCCCCGCCAAGCAGAGCAATGGGTTGACGAGGTGCTGAAGATACGGCCTCCAGCTTTTACCAGAGATTCTTCTGTAGTGGCTAATCTCCTCTGGAAGGATGAGCAAGAGTTCCAGGAGGTACTCTGCTACTGGTCCTCTCGATTCAGAGCCATTTTGACATCAAAGCTCGAAAACCCCATTGACCCTGAGTTCGAGAATTGTTGGTTGGAGTACATGTCGGCCGAACAGGTGAGCTTTATTTTGCCGCGCCCGGCTAAACTCATTCCTTTGGTTAGGGTTTCATTATAGCGACTCTCAGCATGGCATGCGCCTATGGGCATAAAGTAAAACTTTGCCCCAGATTTTTTCTCTTTGAGCTCACCTTCCTGCCAGTTTATCGTCCCTCCCTTTTTGAAGTCCTGTCTCCAGGGTAACCCACTGCACCCTCAGGAAGCCTTCATGGATGACCGTATCCGGCCTGCATACGAGTTTGCGTGGTGGAATACTCGCATCACCTTTCCACCAGGGGGCGTCGACCAA